TCTCTCTCTCTCTCTCTCTCTCTCTCTCTCTCTCTCTCTCTCTCTCTCTCCCCCTCTCTCCCTCTCTCCCTCTCTCCCTCTCTCCCTCTCTCTCTCTCCCTCTCTCCCTCTCTCCCTCTCTCCCTCTCTCCCTCTCTCCCTCTCTCCCTCTCTCCCTCTCTCCCTCCCTTCCTCTGCTTCTCTCACTCCTCTTACCAATAACAAACCCAATCTTTGCCCACCAGCTTCCGTACATCCAACGGGCCATCTCGCTATCCGAACGAGATCTCCTCATCCTTGGTTCTCCTTGGTCTCCCCCGGCTTGGATGAAAGAAAACGGGCACTTCAACGGGTCAGGTGGCATTCTGAAGGAAATGTGGCAGCCGTATTCTGACTATTTTGTGAAGTAAGTACGCAGACGAGGATTATGAAGGATGAAGATGATGACGGGAGGGGGAAAGAAATAGATAATTGGATGAGAAAGTGTATAGATAGATAGATGAGTAAGTAAGTATATGCATGAGTTAGTGGATAGGTAGATGACTAAGAAATTGAATGCATAAGTAAGCAGATAGATAGAAGTATTAAATGAGAAAATACATAGATAATTTAGTAAATGTTTAAGTAAATGCATAAGAAATTAGCAAATCATTAAATAAATACATTAATAAACAAACAAATGAATAGATAAATACGAAAATCAAAACTCCACTGATCGGATTCCCTGCCATGTCGGAATTGCTAGAGCCATCTGGTGACATGTGGCAACTCAACCTTCTTCGTGTTTTAATGAATTGATTTTTCTTTTTTCGCGCCAGGTTTGTGCAGAGTTACGAGGCCGAAGGTGTGCCGATATGGGGACTCACGACACAGAATGAGCCTCTGACAGGGTTCGAGGTAAGTTTATGGGGGTTCATGACACAGAATCTTTGGTGTCTGTTGTGTATGTAGTTTTCGTCATATGACACAGAACCTATTTGGAAATAATGAAGGATCTGTTTGTGTTCTATTGTAGAAGTCCAAGTCAGTAAGCAAAAACTAGATAGATATAATAGATACTAGAACAAAAAAATATATAGCCTCAAAGGCCTCAAAATCAAGACATTATTCACATCACAGTAATCAAATTATAGAATACTTCTAAAAGCGAGATATAATTCACTTCTCCGAAATGAATTCCCTCAAATGAATTCCCTCAAAATATCGAATTGTTGAATACTTCTAAAAGCTAAACAAAATTCACGTAAAGAAATAGTGAATTTCCCCAAAATATCAAACTGTAGAACACTTTTAAAAGCTAAACAGAACTCACATAAACAAAACAAAATGAATTCCCTCAACACGAACGCCCTCTGATTCAGGACTGGTTCTGGAACACGTGTGCTTGGACGCCAGAAGACCAACGGGACTGGATTAAGACCAATTTAGGCCCGACGCTGGAAGCTGCTGGACTCAGAAGAATTAAACTCATGGTGGATGACCACAACCGCGACACCTTGCCCTGGTACCCTGCCACTGTACGTGTCCATTATTACTATTATTTATTTACTTATTTATTTTATATTATTATTATTTCTTTTTTTCTTTTTTTTTTTACTCTGTTTACCCAGGTCTCCAAACCACGAACACTGAAAGGACAAATCACAGAACATATCCTAAACACTCCCGTTCATTATCCCTAATCTCAAAAACAACCCACTGACAGATTTAGGATGAATCATACACCAGACATATCCCAGATACTCTCACACATTAACCCGAATCACCCACCTGCAGATTCTGGGAGGGCCAGGTAGACATCTGAAAGGATAAATCACATATTAAACATACCTCAAATACCCCCCATACATTATCCCTATCCCACACTAACACTGAGAGGATGAATCGCGCTTCAAACGCACCATATGTCCTCACACACTATCCAAAAACCCGAAATCACCCGCCTGTAGAATCTTGAGGGCCTGGAAGACAATTCTACAAGCTACATTAACCCTGAAAGAACGAATTCCACATCAAATCTATCCCAAACAATCCCAGACTTTATCACTCTCCCCGAAATAACCCGGAAGCCAGTCTCCAACCCACACTGTCTCTGAAGGGATGAATCGCACATCATTCCTAAACCCAAAATAAACCACCTGCAGATAAAAGGACGAAACGCACATCAAACCTATCCCAAACACGCCTATACTTTATCCCACACCCCGAAATAACCCACCGGCAGATTCTAGAGGACCCTTAAGCCATCTCCCGTAACCACACTGACACACAACAGCCATTCTAAATACCCTCACACGTTGTCCCTAATTCACCCACCGGCAGATTCTAGAGGACCCGGAAACCAACAAGTACGTGGACGGAATTGCTCTCCACTGGTACGCCGATGACTGGACAGGACCCAGCGTGATGGACGAAACCCAGGCACTCTTCCCTGACAAGTTCCTGCTCTACACCGAATCCTGCGACGGTAAAGGACCTTTAATGACTCGTCTCCTTGATAAGTTCTTGATCTATACCGAGTTCTGGGAAGGTAGAGGACTTTAATTGACTCTATTGTCCTTTTTCTTTCTTCTTCCTCTTTTTTTTTTGAATGAGAGAGAGAGAAAGAGAAAGTCTTTTTAGATTTAAATTAGTTCATTATGATTTTTTTTTATCGTATTAATATATACAAAAGTATAGAAAGAGAGAGGCAGTATTGTGTTAATTCATACAATAACATAGTTATATATATCAATTATATTTAATCCTTTATTTGAATATATAATAAATCAGTTATACAATATATAATTAGTAATTAAATATTAAGTCTTCTTAATATATTAGAAACTAGGAAAGCACTCAGAGAGTGCAGACCACCAAGGTGCGTATATAATGTACTTACACCGCTGCTGCGTCCAGACGGTAATTCGGAATGTCAGTGAAATGTGGTACACGTTTACCGTAGATTTTTGTACTTTATTGATTAATTATTGATAATAATAATAATAACCAGACGGTAATTCGGAATGTCACCAAAATTTAATCACTTCTAAGTTATTCCCTTTCTGACTTGTCCCCAAAAATTCGATGAAATCCGGCCAGCACTTTTTGAGCTAGGCTGCTAACAAACAAACTAACCAACAAACCAACACTCAAAAACATAACCTCCTTGGCGGAGGTAATTAACTTTATAATAGGATAATTCGAATGTCATGTAAAGCTAACCAATCCATCTTTTTATTTCCACATGAAGTGAGGTACTGTATACATTTTAAGAAAAAGAAAACGTCTTAGAATTTCCATTTTATTTCCCGCAGGTTGGGACGCCGAGCCCGGAGAACGCGTACTCCTTGGTGACTGGTTTCGGGGAGAGAGTTACGCCTATAACATTATCGATGTAAGGACTGTATATTCTCGTTTTACGGGTTTATATTTGGTTTGGTATGGTTTAGTAATTCTGTCTATTTATATATGTTTTTTTTCTGTTTTTTTTTTCTTTCTTTCTTTCTTTTTTAGCAGTATTTTCTTTTCCCTCTCCTTCTTCTTCTTCTTCACTTTCACCTCTTCACTTTCATCCAAAAAGGAACTTCAATCCCACAGGATATGAACCACTGGTCGACGGGATGGGTGGACTGGAACATGGCCCTGGACATGACCGGAGGACCTAACTGGGCCAACAACTTCGTGGACTCCCCCATCATTATCAACAAGGTGAGACGTTGTAGGGAATCTTCTTAGCTGATGCTGTCCGCACAGAGAGAGATACGCAAACAAACGCGTGCGTGTTCATTCACACACATAAGCAAGCAGGCGCGCGCGTGCACACACACACATACACAGAGAGAGAGAAACAAACATAGAAAGAGACAATACGAAGAAACTTACAAAAAAGGAAATTAAATATCAAAATCCAAGATCTTATAAAAAAAATAGATATATAAAAAAATTAAAAAAAAACTACAATATTCCAACCACCAACCCATTCCCTCTCAAAAAACAGGAAACAGGAGAGTTTTACAAGGAGCCGATGTTCTACGCGATGGGCCACTTCAGCAAGTTCATCAGCCCGGGATCCCGTCGCACATACACTAATATCTTCGGGTCTGAACAAGTCAAGGCTACAGCTGTTCACAATAGTCAGGACGACACCACAACCGTCGTCATTATTAATCTGTAAGTCCCTCTATTTCCTGGTGAGAACGAAGAGGTTTAGCAAAATACTTCGTCCTGATGATTTGGACAAAGGGGTGGTTTAACATTTTTTTAATAGGGTAGTTTACGATAATGGTAGTTCGTTTGTTGTTTGTTGTGCTGGGTGATAATATTTCGAGAAAAAAGTTAGCCTAAACTAATTCAACTCAACTTTTGAAAGAAGAAAAAATTTGCTGATTAAAGACAACATGAATATATGACCATATGAAAATATGACGATTTGGTAATTAAAGACAAATATACGAATGTACGACAATATGAAACTATGACACTTTGCTGACGAAAGACAAAAAAAAAAAATGAAAATCACACTGCTAAATCCCTGTCTCCCCCTTTCTTCCACCTCTCCCCCTTTCTTCCACCTCCCCCCCTTTTCTCCCACCTCCCCCATTCCCCTTCCATCAAATCCCACCTCCACCCTTTCCTCTTCCCCCCTCCCCTTCCCTCACCTTTCCCCCTTTCTCCCATCCCCCCCCCCCGCCCTTTCCCCCTTTTTTTACACTCACAGAGGCGACGCGGCTGAAGCTCTGAGCGTTGACATCGGCGACAGCACCAACTACATCAACTTTGATCTTCCCGCCAAGGCCATCGTCACTCTCCTTTACAAGACCCCGACCGTCGCTTAAGTAAAAGGAGACTGAGGACTTGGCTCAAGAAACACGACGGGGAAGGAGAGTAATGTTGCGGGTGAGGGGGGTAGGGAGGGATAGGGGTGTAATATTTTTTTTCTCTCTTTCTTTCTTAAATTTGATAGATTGTTGATTTTAGCGGTCGAGCTTTATTGTTATTTTTTTCTGTATTTATAAGTGATTAAATCTGCAGTGAGCGTTTTTCAGGATTTTTTTTTTAATAACATCCTCTTGGTTTTACTAACACGACTAAATAATTCTCTATGATTCAGTTACCCTATACGATAAATATATACATGTACATACGCACATATACATATATATACACATCTATATCAATCTATTTATCTCTCTATATATAGAAAGTAGGCTAGCTGGAAGTATTTGTAAGTAAACATTCGTTTGTAAACAAATATATGCATACACATATGAATATATTTATGTATATAAATACATGTATGCATATGAATATATACATATATATATATATATATATATATATATATATATATATATATATATATATGTGTATAGAGAGAAATGGGGAGGGAGGGGGGGGACGTACATACATATACATATATATAAATTTCCTGTAAAAAAAAACACCTGCACTTATGAATGATTTTGGCACCACTGAAGACACGTGCATTTGTAAATTATTTATATAAGCGATTTCGTCCCTTTTGAGAGAAGACGGGGCAGTGAGCGAGAGAGAGAGAGAGAGAGAGAGAGAGAGAGAGAGAGAGAGAGAGAGAGAGAGAGAGAGAGAGAGAGAGAGAGAGAGAGAGAGAGAGAGAGAGAAGGCATACTACGAGAGAATGGAAAAGAAAAGAAAATTGAGAAAAGGAGAGAGAACACGAAGTGGAAAAGTAATTTACGAGTAACGGAGGAGAGACAAGAGATTTTGGGAGGAAGATAAGTGTTGTAAAATTACAATGGCCCCATGGTGTAATGGTTAGCACCCTGGACTTTGAATCCAGAGATCCGAGTTCGAGTCTCGGTGGGACCTCGAGGCTTCGAGGCTTCGCTTGCAGTTCCCTGAGGCGAGCGGAAGAAGTCACAATCAACACATTTGTTTTGCGTTCGCTTGCGTGTGTGATGGAGTGAGACATGGGTAAATGTGTGTGTGTTTGTGTGTGTGTGTGTGTGGGGGGGGGTAATGATCCCACAAATAGCACTAAAAATATCCCTCCTTAAAAGAAAAAAAAAAAAAATGCTGGTCAAACACAAAACGAATATATAACAATATGAAATTATGAAGATTTGATGACGAAAGACGGATAATATTAATCACACTGCCATACACTTGTTAGCTGGAAGTATCTGTGTAATTGTATTTATCTCTAAACAATGCTATAGACACATATATGCATACATGTATATAGAGGGAGGCGTGCATGCGCATATTCATACATATATACATATATACACGTTTCGGAATTGATACAAACGTGTCCAAAATATTTCATCACTTTGGAAACTGTTCACTACCCACAGCCTATTTGCATTAATAGTATATATACCTTTTAAGAACGTGTGCACTTATGAGAATGATTTTGTCACCACCGAAGACATGTGCACTTGTAAATAAGTTATAAATGCAATTATGAATTATTCATAAATTTCGTCATCACTGAGAGAAGATGCGACAGTGAGCGAAATAGAGAGAGAGGAAAGGAAGACAAACAAGGAGAGAGTGGAAAAGAAAAGAAATTTGAGAAAATGAGAGAGAACATGAGGTGGAAAAGTAATTTATGAATGACGGAGAAGAGATGAGAGATTTCGATAGGAAGTGAGGTGTTGCAAAATGAAAATTATTTAATGAATGTGGCCCCATGGTGTAATGGTTAGCACCCTGGACTTTGAATCCAGAGATCCGAGTTCGAGTCTCGGTGGGACCTCGAGACCTCGAGACTTCGTTTAGAGTTCCCTGAGGCGAGCAGAAGTCAACGAGCAAAAATATTTTGTTGTGCGTTCATTTGCGTGTGTGGAGTAAGACATGTGTAAATGTGTATATATGTATGTTTATATATGTGTGTACATACATATATCATATATACATATATATATGTATATATATACATATATATATATGTAAGTATGTATGTATATATATATGTATATGTGTGTGTGTATGCACACATGTGTGTATCATCATCTACGGGGAGCATCCACCCTTCGTTTCTACCTACGAGGGTCCCTCTTGGCAAGCTGCCAGGCAGAGGCCCGGCAAATCGATCTGCCCAAGCCACGACTTCCTAGGCCGTCCTCATATGCCTCCTCCACCCAGGGTTGTCTTAAACATCCTGTGGGAAACAAGCTAGGTGGCCGTATAGCCTGAGTTGGCGATCACGGATTGTGTAAGTAACAGGTCCTGTACCGGTCTCATGTTGCGACCGTTAGTTGGACACATGCGCCCAAGCCAGTCCATCTACTGACTTCTTGGCCTTACAGCCCGAAGTCATGAACTAAAAGAAAGGAAATTTGAGAAAATGAGAGAAAACATGAAACAGAAAAGTAATTTACAAGTGATGGAGGAGAGACAAGAGATTTGCAGAGGAAGAGAGGTGTTTCAAAATTATGTGAACATTACTCAACGAATATGGCCCCATGGTGTAATGGTTAGCACCCTGGACTTTGAATCCAGAGATCCGAGTTCGAGTCTCGGTGGGACCTCGCTTGCAGTTCTCTGAGCTGAGCTAAAGTCCGAGCAAAAATATTTTGTCGTGCATTCATTTGCGTATGTGATGGAGTAAGACATGTAAATATGTGTATATGTGTATTTATATATATATGTGTGTGTGCACATACATACATCATATATATATGTATATGCGTGTGTATGAATATATGTGTATATCATAATCTATGGGAAGCTAACGCCGGCAGGGGTGCACAGCTGCATCTACCCTTTATTTATACCTACGAGGATCCCTCATGGCAAGCCGCCAGGCAGAGGCCCGGCAAATCGATCTGCCCAAGCCACGACTTCCTAGGTCGTCCCACAGGCTTCCTCCGCCCAAGAGAACAGAGACAATCTGGGGGGTGGGGGGGGGGGTAGGATCATCCTGTGGGAAACGAGTTGGCAACCGCGGATTGTGCAAGTAACCGGTCCTGTACCAGTCTCATGGTGCGACCGTTGGTTGGACACATGCTCCCAAGCCAGTCCGTCTACTGACTTCTTGGTCTGATAGCCCAAAGTCATGAACTGCACTACTGGTATATAAAGCTTTCTGTGACCTCAAAGTTCTCACCGCAAGCATGTACCGACTGAACAGCATTTAGGTCCCTAAAGTCCTGGATCTTGGTCTTGGTCCAGGAGACCTCTAGCCCCAGGGGCTTCACTTCAATGCTAAATGCATCAAGAGCCGCCACTACGGTTTCCAGAGATTCAGATAGAACAGCAACATCAGCAAAGTCAAGGTCTGTAACCTTGATATTGCCCCGACTTTGGACAGTAGCTCTATCCAGTATCTAATCCATGCAAGTGTTGAAAAGTGTTGGTGCAAGAACACAGCCTTGCCTCACTCCTGAACTAACAGGGAAGGAGATCGACAGGCCCCTACCACAATTTACAGCACTTTTCGTATTAGTAAACAGGCTTGCTATTAATCCAAAAATCATTGTTAGAATTCCTCTTAGTCTCAGGATGATTTATAAATGCATTTATAAATCATTCAGTCTACACTGAGAGTAGACCTAACAGTGAGCGAAAGAAAGAGGTAGTAAGAAAGCAAACAACGAGAGAGTCGAAAAAAGGAAATTTGAGAAAATGGGAGAGAACATAGAGCTGAAAAGTAATTTACGAGTGACAGAGATAAGAGATTTCGAGATGAAGAGAGGTGTAGCAAAATTACATGAAAATTTCGTAATGAATGTGGCCCCATGGTGTAATGGTTAGCACCCTGGACTTTGAATCCAGAGATCCGAGTTCGAGTCTCGGTGGGACCTCGAGGCTTCGAGGCTTCTCTTGCAGTTCCCTGAGGCGAACGGAAGGCACAAGCAAAAATATTTTGTGCGTTCATATGCCTGTATAATGGACATGTGTAAATGTATGTATATATGTATATATGTGTGGGTGCATACAATCACATATATACATATATCGTGGGTACATGTGTATATGTGTGCATATATGTGTGAATCTATATATACAGGGATCTCCTTTATCTGCGTTAAGATGGGCCAGAAAACTACATTGGATGATGATTCCAGGATTAGCAATAAAAATGTCACAAAAAAAGACAAAACGAATATGTGACTTTAATAAATTCTTGTCAGTTGGAATTATCCATACGTACGCATTTGTTTCTAAACAATGCTGAAGGAGGGATAGAGACATACATACACATATACATATATATATATATACATCATTATCAGCCTGAATCAATCCACTGCAGGATGTAGGCCTTTCCCAATCTTTATCTTGCCTTTTTTGTTTTCAGACTTGGCCCCCAATTTCGTTATTTCATAACGCCATCTTGTCATTGGTCTGGTCCTTGGCTTCTTTATGTTATCTATAGCCCAGTCTGTTACTTTCTTGTCCATCTGTCAGCGTGTATACATCTATATATATATATAAGTTTCGGAATTGATGCAAACTTGTCCAAGACATTTCACCAAACTATAGTTTCTTCCCGTCCTTACAAGCCAAGAGGAGAAATATGTAACAAGATTCTAATTGCAAATATATTGACACCGGTGATCTACATCTGACTGAGAACATCAAACTTAGGAAACTGTTCACTACCCACACCCTATATACATAAATTTCGAGAAGACACGACATAGAATAAGAGAGAGAGAGGAAAGGAAGACAAACAAGGAGAGAGTGGAAAAGAAAGGAAATTTAAGAAAATGAGAGAGAATATGAACCGAAAAGTAATCTACGAGTGATGGAGGAGAGACAAGAGATTTTGAGAGGAAGAGAGGTGTTAGGAAGTTACGTAAACATTCTTTAGCGAATATGGCCCCATGGTGTAATGGTTAGCACTCTGGACTTTGAATCCAGAGATCCGAGTTCGAATCTCGTGGACCTCGAGATATTCAGGGAAATTGTGTGTGCATTCATAGATATGTATCGTCTGTGTGTGTGTATGTATGTGTGTGTGCATTCATAGATATATATCGTCTGTGTGTGTGTATGTATGTGTGTGTGCATATATGCGAGTGAATATATACGTATAAATACAGGGATC